ACTAAAGCGCTACATTATTATATGCTTATTTTTAAACAAGTATTTTATTGGATCGACTAGAAAGAACATAAATATATGATAATTTATTAGATCAACTACAAAAAATATTAATAATAATAATTTATTAGATAAACTACAAAAGGTATTAATATGTATACATGTATGTACACTTCTAATTTCATTTACAATTAAATTTATCTTCCTAATTATATATGTAATAAATAATTATACATTCAAATAATACAAAGAATATATAATAAAATTTAAATTAGATTATTGACATTTCGATTACTTAAGAGATTGTCATTATGGGTTTTGTTTATTATTTTTGCAAACATAAATAATACATTGGAGACATCTAAAAATGCAATTACATAATATATTTTTTATGTATCTATTGATAGTAGATATAATGATGTTGCATGAAATTTTGAATATACTTATAATAATAATTAAAGACAAATTGTTGTTATAAAATTACAAAATATTTTGTTACATGTTTTCACATTCTTCACAGAATGCTTACATTTAATAGATATATTTTAAATACTTACAAATTAGATATTGACAAGTACCACCCAAGTTTCTTTAAAAGCCAACTGGCTGACATGCAATTCTCTAAACCACACGATTGAAAGTTAACCTGACTTCTTCTTTTGACGGAAAGTTGCATTCCAAACCGATGAAACAGATAATACGAAACACTACGGTCATTGATGACAATTCGTTCTGACAGGCGTTGCCCGCACTTTACGTTACATCGAGTTATCCAAATTTACAATATTACAACTAAAATTAAATAGATATTCGCTGCTTGAAAATTTTAGCTTCATATTTTGTAAAAGAACTAAAAAATCATTTTATTTATTTATTATATTCTTTATATATTATAACACATCTAATGTAACAAATATTTTGAAATAACATGAACTCGCGCCAAGAAAAACCAGATGTCACTTTTCATAGTTTGAACAAAGATTCGTATCTAGATCATATTAATTTAATGATATTTATAAATTCTGTAAACAAGTATTTATAACTGACTTCAAGTTTTGATCAAAATATTATTGTTTTACACTTAGATGTGTAATTATTATGTTTACAGTAATTACAATGTAAAATAAATATATATTTCTTTGACACCTAAGCGACTTTTCATTTATTTTAAAAAATGTTTGTAAAATGTGTTAGTGCAATGATCTGTATCTCTAGTTTTTTATACACTTTTTATGGTTTGTGTAATTTGACATATTTTTTATCAAGTCATAACAAAGATAAAGAAACAATTATTTCAGCAAGAGAAGGTAAATAATAATAATAATTAATAATAGTAATAATTTTGTAATTGTTTATATGTGAAAATTTAAATTAGTAATTCATGCTTTATTTTACAAACTTATATTACAGATGAAGATATTGATTCTGTATTGTGGTTGCTAATAGTAAATATGTCGCTATTAAGTATTTTCATGTTACAACATTCGCTTATGGCTAGTAATTTTGTGAAACATTTATTTTGTAAACTGCATATGGATTATATGGAAAGAAGTATTTATAATGTTGCTACTGCTATGTCTCTTCATTTATTATTTAATAAATGGCAAATTATTTCATCTATTACATTATGGAAAGTTAATACCTCTTCTGATAATGTTTCATGGTACACATTCACTGCTTTTCATGTGTTGGCTTGGTCTATAATTTATAGTGGGTGTTTAATGATGGATATATCTGAATTAGCTGGAATAAAACAAGTATATTATAAATTTTCATTGAGATCAAATCCTATGCTAATGAAATCTAAAGAATTATTACGTTATTACTCACATATGAGACATCCAAGTTTTACGGGATTTATTATTATTTTATGGATATATCCTTACATGACGTAAGACATTTAAAATATTAATGTTATAATATTTTACATTTTTAAAGTGGATAAATAAATAGTTTTTTAATATTTTATAGATTAGACAGATTATTATTGGCTTTGATACTCACAGTGTATATGACCTTAATGTGGACTATTGATAAAGAAGATTATAATTATCATGCTAATCTTGTGAAGAAAAAGCAAAGAGAATTGTTCTGATTTCCTCTTATATTATATTATTTTACTCTTCCAATCTTTGTGTTCATTAAGTTATATAATTAGTTGTATTAACATTTGTTTGAGTTTCATGTTGTAAAGTATGTATATAACATAAATATAAATATATAGAATTATAAATTGATGTAGTTAACTAATTAAACATAGAGCATTTAATCTATAATTTCAATCAAAAGAGCTGTTCCTTTCAAAATCCAATATGACTGTTCTTTTTCAGATGAAAGTAAAACTGCAACAATAAAATTCGTACTATGTCCAGTTGTAGACAATACACCTGCTCGTATTGCTGTTTTATATAAAGGACAAACATATCTTGGATCATCTTTTGGTAATTCTAATACTGGATTTATATGTAAAACTGGAAGAGGTGAATTCATTTCACCTGAAATAGATAATTTAATTACTTTTTATAAACAATATATTATATAAAAAGTAAAGTATTATAAAATTAACATTATACCTATATTTGCATCTATCAAACACATAGATTTAAAATCCCATTTACCAGCATCAATGAATAACCCATGTATCAAAACCCCATCTTGTGGTACTTGTAAGCCCTTATATACCTCTATTACCTAAAACATAACATATATGATATGTAGAAAATATTATGTTGCATAATATTTAACTGCATTAAGTAATCAGACCTCTTTTTCATGCTTTTTGTGTTGCATTTCAATTTCTTCTTGATTAAGCACAGCTTTGGTAGGAATAAAATCTAATTTTAAGTGGTCTATAGGAATGTTATATTTTCTTGCACATGTCTGTAACATACCAGTTAAAAATCCTTGTGGAAATGATAAACCCGAAATCCAAAAAGAAATTGGTTTTATATCAATAAACCAAATCTGTAATGTGGAATAGTTATTAAACTAGTTATTATTTTTTTGCCTTTTTTATTTTTTTTTACTTGAATGAAATCAATTCTCAGTTCTAAGTTCTTTATCCAACTTCCTAATGTTTTTAAGGACGGATAAACATTTACATTATGCCACAACTGGGGTACCTAATTTATGTTAATATAGTATTAAAAGAAATTTATGAGAATAATATAAAAATATTAATATAAATTTCACTATTGAAAATATTCTTTTATAAAAAATCAATAAATCAAAAATTTATAATAGACACCTGATTATTGACAAGAGCCATAAAAACGTTTTCTAACTCCTCAGACATAACAACAAAACCTTTTATAGCTTTTTGTAAATTTTCTATTGAAGTATGTATCTTTTGTAGAAGTATATTATATCTATCAACCTCGTGAATAAGGACAGTTGTTAAAGATGGAAGTCTCCCTATTTTATCTCTCTGTAAAAATCTTACAATATCATCTGCTTATATAATAGTTGTATAAAGTTAAGTTTGTTGCTCACAATTAAATGTTCTGGATTACATTTTGTAGTATCTATTTTTAACTGGATTCTATTTTTTATCATATCAGCAATTTCATGTGCTATATCCGAACTAGGTTTATCTTGATCAGTGACTGATTCTTGCGGTTGTACTTCCAAAATAGTATTGAGGACAAACTGTGTTTCTTTTAACTATTATAATTATAGTTATGCAAATATTTTAAGTTAGCATAACATTTTTTTTTTGCCCTATTTGGCTACCTTTAATTACCTGATAAGCAATATTTGCATTTTCATGCATTCCAAAAATTTCTGGGTCATCAATTATAGGAAAAGTCTCTACAAAACTTATATATTCTTCTAAGGTATCATAGATAGGACAGTAATATTTTCCAGATTGTGAATAGACATAATCTGTAATATTTTATATAAATAAATATTATAAATTATTTATAACCATATTGAATTACTTACCAATGTCTAAAGATTTAGGAGAAAAAAATATAGTTAGGATTGTTTTCATACACCTTAAATCCCAACTGTCTGTAACTCTACCTCCATAAGTAATTTCACCTAAAACGAATATAATAAACATGTCTCGTTTAATGATATGATTTTGAGATATATTTTATAAACCTGTAGTGTATATTAATGCATTCCAAGGTATATCTTCTTCTACGCAAAATAATTTCAAGTTTAATAAACAACATTCTCTATCGCTGTCGTTAAATTCATATAAAATATTCCATCCTAGAGGTCCAAATTTTTTTCGTTCCTGAATAATTGCATGAAAAAAACAAATTCCAAATATAATTCGGCGCCAGCTTTCACCTAAGTCTATATGTTAAGAAAACAAATTTTTAATTTATAAATGATATTTTATACATCGACTATTAATATTCATGATTATTATTTACGGTGATGTTCAAAAAATGCCTCGCTCAATTCATATAATGCTCTCATGATATTGGTTTTTAAACCTTTCGGCGGTTCATTTGTGACTTTCACAGAATTTTGAAGAACGGAAACCGGGAAAGCTGTACTCGGCATTGAACTTAGAAATAATCGATAGTCAGTATGAATCACTCCTTCCGGTTCCTCAGCAATTTCCGTCACAAGCTGTTCCATGTTGATCATCCACGATGTGGCTAGGTGACAATTTTGTAAGAATACCCATCTACCTTCCACGGTACCTGCTCGTATGTGTCCTTCTGCAATAGGACCTTGACCTTGGCCTAAAGAGATTGAGTCGTATCTCTCAGAAAAACCCATATCATTTGCGAATTTTTGAAAAGCACTAAAAGGATCCGATCCAGTTGTAAGTATGAAAATCAGAGGTATCTTGTTTGACGTATCAGCAAATCTGAAAATATTCGATGATAAATTTAACCCTTTGCACTACAATGACGAGTCTAATTCGTCACGCGAATTCTTCGTGTCAAATTTCGAAATCATAAGTTATACTAATCACGCGGTTATAATTGTATTTCATACGTTTCAACATGCACAGAATTCTTAAAATTTCTCAAATTTTTAATCAATCTTATCGTCCATGAAATAGGTATATCGTAGGTAATTAAAATTAAATACTACTTCATAATATAATTTTTCATAATTAAATCGCAGTACAAGGGATTAATCTTAATAATTTAGAAATAATTAAATTTCAAATATATAATCTTTTTCGACATACAAAAGTTGTAATGTTGCCATAGGTGATTCCACGAATTTCTGTCCCAGATTTTTCGATACATAAGCTGTGATTGCAAAAATTAATTGTTCTTCTTTCAAAGCTTTTAGCAACATCAATTTTTCAATATCAGTTAGTATTTTATCCCAGTTGTGGATAGCCATTTTGTTATTAGTAGGAATTATATTAATATCCTAAAAGATATTGCCAGACTCTATTCGTATAGGAATTAAAATAAATAAAATTAGATAAAGGAAGACTAATGTATTACTTCCTTAAAATATCCAAGGGTCAGTGTAATCTTGTTAAATGCGTCCTTCAAGATGGTTTTGAAGTGTTCAAACGTATTAGCTAGATAATTAATCGAAATCCACATTTGAGTTGTCAGAGTGGGATAATTTGGAATTTCTTTCTATTTGAAACATTTATAAATCGCTTGAGTCAATCACGAATTTGTTACAAAAAGAAACATAACTCACCGTGACGACTCGTGTAGGACCACGTAACATGAAATGCCATTGTGCTTTAGACACAATCTGCTCATTCATATGTATTGCAATGTTGAGCATAAAACTAAACACTAATTTGTGTTTCTCAAACAAACCTCGTGAAACGTTCGTGTAAATGGACAACGTTATTTCATCTAATAACGTTTTCAAACGTTGTTGCAAATTACTTTCCTTTTCTGTAGTTTCAATTACAGTGTTAAATATCTGGAAAGATGTCGAGGAATGTTACATATGTTTACACATTCAGAAGCATAGTTATTTATCATGTAATTATTTACTTGATTAAAGTACTTTAGTGAAAATTGATACATAGGATCTATGTTTGCAAGATTTGCAACCACGAAATACAAAACAGATCCACGATTTGCTACAGATCGATATTTTTCACGCGTGACTGATATTTTTTCTTCAGTCGATTCGCTTTCGATTAATCTCGTTGCAATAATTGCGGAAGTTTCTTTGCTATCATTTAAAGTTTCTATCAAGTCTTCATTGTCTAAAATATCATCACCTGCACCGTATAATAACGTTAGTATTTTGTTTTCGATGTTTTGCAACTGCCCTTTGTCCGCGTTGATTTTTATTATTAAATCGTTTCTCATTGCTTCCAGATCTGGCCTTTCAAGACGTACAACATCTCTGACGATTAAAAAGTGGGAGATTTATAAACTGAATGTACTCATGTGTTTCAACACGTATAGCTACTTAATATCAATGCACATACGCAAGTAGTTGTTCTTCGAGGCCACTCATAGTTACGGTAAAATTTACTATCGTTACTTTAATACAAATTTCTGGTAAGTAATGAGGATTTGCGATCTTCGTCGTAATGTATAGCTTGAAATTACTATCATACTCAACATCTGTATCGCCGAATCGTATTAACATTCTACCACCCTACATAGTTGTATTAATTAATACTATTACAACGGTTACCTCTTATCACATAAGCTATATGGAACATTTATTGTGTCAGCAGGATGGGTTCCAAACTTGGATCCAGCACTTCTCCTACTTCTTGAAGTAATACCGGAGTTCCAAGCCTTATAGACGCCTCCAGTATTCTCATTAAATTTACATCCGTTAACTTGCATATTTTTAGGTTGCTGTCCTGTTCCATATTCCGTATCCACCTATTCGCCTTAATGAAAAATAAATACAGCTTGCAAAACAACATCAAGCAATTTTGAACATTATAAGGATAATTACCTGTTCTTGTGGATCGATCATTAAAGGCCAACGATTGCTCTGTGTTACAAAGATTGCATTTTCTGTACTCACTTTATCCCTTGGTAAGCCGTACGTGTTCCAAAGACGAATTTCATAAGCATCAGCTAATATTGCAACGAGACTATAATTTTCTGTCGTTTTTATATCGTAGTCTTTGCAACTAGATAACCAAGTTTCTATCAGTTCTTCCCTGTA